ATCAAGTGATCAAGGGTCGCGTGCGTGATCAAGGGTCGCGTGCGTGATCAATGATCACGCATGCGACGACGACGCTTCGAGCAGCGCCGAGATGGTCCGGTCCTTGCAGCACATGTCCATGGCGCAATGGTCGCTTGGTCATTGGCTCTGTCAAAGTAGCTAGGTATGCTCCAGGACCGGCGCCCACGCACCATGACCATGGCAGTGGAAGACGATTCTCAAAGGTCAAGAGGTCGATGGAGAAACCGCCACGTCACGGAGCCAGTTGGAGTCGGTTTCTACGTCTGTCACGGTGTAACATTGATGGATACCCACACGAAACGTGTCGAAAGTAGACCAGCGGAATGGTCTAGTGGAAAAGCCGCGAAACACGCAGAGAGTTGGAGGTACAGGGATCGATGCCCTTAAAAGGACGGGCCCTACAAACTCCCTCTGCATTTCTTTTTTTGCGCGGTATACAAAAATGCTGTGTGGGAAAAACAAAAACATTTCGTCGCATTATTCATGGTATTTGGATGCAAGCGGTCGTTCCAGTATATGAATCCGATACCAATTGCGCCGTGCATGGCTCGTTCCCTTGCGAGAAGCGATCTCTCGACATTCGAGTCGAGTACTGTAGCGTTTTGCTACAGTCAAAGCTCCCTAAGAGCATACCGTGGTACTTATCAATTCGACAGGATTATTAATTGTGCAGAGGTGGTATTTTTTTCAATGCCGTATATCGCACGTTGACATCGAGGCGGTGGATTGCACGAGCGTCGGGGAGCGGCTCTTTTGGAAATGACGCGTGGTCAGGGAATGGTTGCGGCCGTTGGCGTGATAGAAGTCGAGGACATGGATCTTCTCTTGGATCTCAATCTGCGACTTTGTGCCACGGATTGGAGCGCCCCACGTAGGGCCCTTGTTTTCGGACTCCTTGAGCATCTTACGTCGCATGGTGCAAAATAAGTTATGCTCTTACGTCTTCGAGCTATGCTCTTACGTCTTCGAGCTATGCTCTTACGTCTTCGAGCTATGCACGTATGTCGACTGCCAATCCAAAGGCGCCACCTCCGCTGCTTCAATGAACGCACACGCCAGACCAATTTGATAAAATATTCTGGTGATATATTAGGCCGAGAGTTTTATAGAGTTTCAGTGGTATGCTCTTAGAGAGCTTTGACTGTATACCTATTGTACGTACAGGATACCGCTCGGCGGTCGAGGCGATACCGTGTCGAGTGCATGGTGTCATCAATCAATGGTCAATACCTCGGGCTGGCCTGGAAGAACGCACGAGAGAGGTCCGCACGCTGTGTTCTACTACGTAGTACTACTAGTAGGTAGCAGGGAGCGTGGCTGTAACTGACAAGACCCTTGACAATGAATAGATACGATATGTAATGTGAGAGGAGCGCCGTCGGATAAGTAGCCGCATATGAGCCGAGGGCGTTGTGACTCATGCGCAGGCTCCAAGAATTTGCGCTCGGAACTCGAGCTGCGGGTCTTCTTTCTATGCCGGCCAAGCTCGTCCAGGCCACCACAGCTGGTGAAATTCCGTCTTGAACATGCATATTGCCATGCAATTCACGCGTGCAATGAGCGCGATTTGATCATCCATGGGGACGACGTTGGAGCTGAAAAGATGCATTTTCAAACGAGGCGCGACCAAGATACTTTGCTGCCACCAACCAGCTTGGTTCCGACTTTGGTTGATGCTTGTTCTCCGTACGTCTGCCGATCCCGGCGGGGCTGAGACGCGCGCTTGTTCTCGTGGGTGCACTTGAAGTCGCGTGGCGGCGCTTGTAAGACCCGGACGCTCACGTACGGTGCGGCACACGGACCCATCGCGTGTCAACAACAATGACGAGCATCCGCCAGCGAACCGATGTGGCCATCGACGGCGCCAAAGCGCCAACGACGAGGTTGAATGAGGAGATTGATTATGCTACGCAGCCATCCTGGGCCTCTCTTCGACCAGCAGTTTGCGACTTGCGTCTTGCTGATCATTGCACGCGATTGTGCCAGCTCCGTGACGCTCGCGGTTCCGATCACTTCCAACTTCAACCCGAGGTCGACTGTTTTAAACACACGCCGTAAGCAACATTGTGAATCTCTCGTGCTCAGCCTCGCACTCCCAAGACGCCGACGCTGCTTGACTCGGTCGACTTGCCGATGCTGCGGCACGCTGCTGCATTGTCTCTAGTGCCATCGGCTCACAGGCGCAGTAGGCAACGAGGCCACCAACGGGGTTGCATGCCTCAGCACGAGCTCGTCTCCCGTTGCCAGCGCCATGACCCGACCTTGACACAGATCGAAACTCCACCGCGCCGTCAACTTGGCCGATCTCGTCATCGAGGCGTGCAGGCAGCACCAAGGACACTACGTTCTTACCCGTCGGTGGGCCTCTGGCAAGATAAAACGCTCGCCCCGCGACGCAGCTCGTCATTCGAGCTCAAGCATTCTTCTGGACACAAGAAGCCCGTTCGGATGCGCAAGCTGCCGTCGCAGTGTAGAAGCACGAGCACGTGCGATCAACGCTAGGCCATGTCGTCAAGAAGCCCGTTCCGATGCGTGAGCTGCCGGCGACAGCGTACATACGTAGTTCTAGAATGACAACGCTTCGTTTGCATTGCAGAAAGAGAGCGTCTTCAACGCGGTGCCAGAGGTGCCTCGGCTTTCTTGCCATTGCGGCGGCCGATGCGCGCCTCATTGAAGAAAGCAACATCGTGCAGCGCTGTCGCAGGCGTCCAAACCGCCTAGTGCAGGGATCGTCCGGCAGAGGCGAATTGCAGCCATCGGTCGTAAGGAGTTGGTTTTCGTGATGAGTCTCAGACGACTGCCGCTGGCTCCAGTGTACAGCCAAAGATGTAAGGTCCGTTGGTGGTCGCTTCCAACGCTCTCTATTTCAACGGAAGTAGCGTCTGCAAAGCGTTCAAGTATCAATGTGTGCAATTGTCCATCGTGAGCAAGCCCGAAACGAAGAGGATGATAAGGAAATGACTTAGACCTGTTCAACGCCCTCTTCTACCCACGATGTCCACCGGCTTCGATGCATGACGTCAAATCAAACCAGCTCGTCCATGTCATTCTCGTCAACGGCCAGCGCGTGGCGTGTTTTGGCACGCGCGCTGCCACCATTGCGGTGAAGCGCACCGCACGCGCGACTGCGCCGCGGTTAAAGTCCGCATGGAGCAACGCACGCTGCGGTGGACTTTTGCGCTGCCCATCTATTCCGAGGCGGCGGTCAACGCGACCGTGTGCCTGCAGGCCACGCCGTGCGACTACTGCCACCACACAGTCGCGCGGAATGGTGGCAATGGTTGCGCGGCGCAGCCAGCAGACAGTCGGTAGCGTTGGCAATCGTCTCGATATAGGCGGGCGGTGCAAAAGGCTACCGGAGCGTCCGCTGCGCGATGCGCGCTTTGGCCGCGGCGCAGTCGCGCGTCCGGCGCTCTTGACCGCAGTGGTGGCACTTGGCGTGCCAAGACACGCTACGGCGCTCGCGCGGGCCGTTGACAAGCACAAGGACGAGGTCGAGGTTGGATGCAAAATACTCGGACTGCAGAAAGACTTTTGTTAGAAATAACGTCGTCGTGCGATAGCGTTCCATACCTGTGGGTTGGCGCGCGTCATCCGGCTCGTGGGGGCGTCCTGGTGAGGCCGAGTGGTTGCGCCGAGGCAGAGAGACCGAGATCGCGATGCTACTATGTGCAGGGCTGGGCGAGCGAGGCCACGTCGGTGGTTGCACGACGGTTGAAATATGAGGTCGTGGGAGCCCCGAGCAAACCAAATACGGTAATTCACGACCGACGTTTAAACGTTTGCTACCGCAGGTTGGTGCGAATTAAACCTAGTACTGGCCGGAGCGGACCTTGTCGTTCCAGTGAAGGCGCGATCGGTTTTATGTCGCAGAGACTCTACGAACCAGGCCGCTCCCTGCTGGTGAAAATCAGTCTTGAACATGCAGCTTGCGATACAAAGCAGAAGTACCTAGAAGCACGATCGGCTCAAATTTGAAACGTCGAGAGATGTTGAAGTTGCGAATATGCATTTTCACATGTAGCATGATCAAGATACTTTTTGCTTTGCAGCATGCGTCACCTGCCCTCTCCGTCGTGTTCTCTCACTGGTTGCTCGTCCGCCCTCTACGACGGTGCTCAGACGCAAGCTCGTCATCGTGGACCAACGCGAGAAGCCGTCAGAGCGCGTGATGAGTGTCATACGATGCGCGACGGTTCTTACGAACCGAAACCGAGTCCTAGCTGAATCCTAGTGCGAAGCCCTCGTCGCTAACCAATCTCCTCATCCCACGTCGTCGTTGGAGCGTTGGCGCCGTCGATGGCCGCTTGGGGTTCGCTGGCACATGCTTGTCGTTGTTGTTGACACGCGATCGGTCCGTGCGCCGCATCGTACGTGAGCGTCCGGGTCTTACAAGCGCCGCTACGCGACTTCAAGTGCACCCACGAGAACAAGCGCGCGTCTCAGCCCCGCCGGGATGGGCAGACGTACGGAGAACAAGCATAAACCAAAGTCGGAAGCCAGCTGGTTGGTGACAGCAAAGGATCATGGTCGCGCCTCGCTTGAAAATGCATCTTTTCAGCTCCAACGTCGTCCCCATGGATGATCAAATCGCGCTCATTGCACGCGTAAATTGTATGGCAATATGCATGTTCAAGACGGCTGTGGTGGCC